ATGAAAAGACAATGGCATCGAGAGCCAAAGCGCAATAGTGATGAAAAATATTTGAGTATGAAAAAAAAAAAAAAAAAAAAAAACTGCCAACAGTTGCAATGCGCCAAATGTATCGTAATAGTCGCAAACTAGAGCAGTTAAAATGTATATATATTTTTGGGAAAGGTTAAGGAGAAAGAGGAAAAATGATTTACAATCCATCGGCGATTGTACTCAAGGATATGTGCAATATATATGTATTTGCATAATCGCTGGATGGAGCTCGCGGAAAACAAAAGTTTCGGAAGGGCAAGCAAATTTATGCCCTGCCCCTCTAGAAATCGGCTCTTCGACCGATTCGAATTCGACGGGAGAAAGAAAAAAAGTTTAGGCCCTCTTCTTCGCGCGCAGTGCTGTTTATATGTTTTCAACGCTGCGAATAAGCTGCGAGAACAAAATTTACCGATGATCAAAGAGAGAGCTTTATTTTTAAGCTCGTGCGTGTACCTGCTAAGTATAGACTTGGGGGGTAAATGTTTTTATCCACCGCCTGGTACAGACACAGATCGGAGATTTCGAAAGGCAATTTGATTTGCGCGCTACAAGTACGTTCTTTCTTTTACCAGCGTCTTGGTGTAGTATAATTATTCGACTCAAATGAGATGATGCACATTGTTTGTACGTGCAACTGTTCAACTTGAAACCCACTGAAATACCTTTGTGCGTGCAGCTGGTCGTATTTTTCCATATCAACTCAAACTATTTCCTAGCCTATATTGTACGAAACCACGGTCAGTGCAGTGGCAAGTAAAAACAGAGGCCCAACGCGAAACTACCCCACAAAACTCAGAAAGCGAGAGAACCAAAATCCCGGACATTCCAGAGTAAAAGCATCGGTCTCCGAGTTTCATCGAGGAACAACGACCGGTTACGGCGCAACACTATCGTATGCGCCGTACCTTGCCGTTATCCGATCATACGCTCAGAGTTTCAGGGAACTGCTCACCAAGAAGTTATCCCCCGCTTAACCGTACATACATATATATATGTAGCCACCCTCTCCGGCTGATTTATCACTCGCTCCTCCGTCCGATCGAGCGCAAACTCGAGGATTCGATGTATACGCCCAAGTGCCGGGGCCTTGACGTATGGGGTCGAGTTCCGTTTTTCTTTTTTCTTTTTTTTTTTTTTTTCGTCCTTGCCTCCTCGAGCTTTCGACAGCCGCGGCGATAACGTTGGCTCGATACCTCCCCATGGACAAACTTTCGCCAGAGATTAGGACCGTGATTTGCGCGGGTGATTCGTATCTATCGCTTTGCCGGCGTTTGAAAAATCCCCCCGGTGTCCCTGAAAAACTTTGGATCCGCGGAAGCATAATGTGCTCGATGACGGATTGGATCTCGTTAGCCGCTGTCGCCTCCTCGCAGCTTCGATCCAAAGCGTTATACTTACGGGTTTCTCGAGGCATTTCCTCCTCCTCCTCCTGACACGTGGCTTGATTTAATTTCACACTTGGCTCATCCTCGCATTGGTCCATCCATCGGTGGCTGATTGCATTATCCGCAAAGTTACGTGCGACGGCGGTGGCAGTTTCGTGGGTGGATTGGCTCCTTGGCTTGGACGGTGACTTGATCTGCGGATGGAAGGGCAATTGTATTTGAAAGAGGACCGCCGGCAGGAGCGAGGAAGTGATTGATAATAAGAAAATATGTCGAGAGGGTACCAGGAGCAAGAGGGAAATGTCTTTAGTTGGACGTTGTGGAGAAAAGAAAAAAACGTCTTTGACGCGTGTATCCTCGTGTGTTTATATAACGTATAGCCACATGGTTTTTATGAGCTTTGCAACACAGTTTCATCATTTCCGCTGGAAAAGTGGATTTTCGAGGTCAAGTTGTTTTTTAAAAAACAATTTTTCATTTTTTTTTTGAAAATTGCCAATACAAGTCCTAGTAAAAAAAAAAAAATGTGCCTGCGCCACTCGTACAAAAGCACATGGATTCGACAATCCTCCCAAAATCAATTTCCACCAATTTTATGCACGATTATGCACGCAACGAGATCACAAGTGCCTTTTCATGATTTTAACAACCAGATGGACGGAGCAACGCAATAAAGAGAGCCGTGCAAAAAATCCTTACGACTTATCTACTCGGTTACAAAGAAAAAACACTAATAATAGCCGTAAAGCTCGGGACGTCGCGATAAAGCTTCCAGAAATAACTCCAGAAATTAAATACAGGGAGCTCGCGTATGTGGGTCTGGATTTTATTTTTTTTGGCTAAAGAAAAAAAAAAAAAAAAAACTGGCTCTGGCTGGGTTAGTGTATATTTATACGGGCGTGAGATGAATAAAAAAGAAGGTCGAGCCGGATGGTGATTCTAGCCGATTGGAATGTGACTGGGAGGAGCTATACACGAGCAAACGAACGTATACAGACGGTATGGAAGCTTACGAGGCGAGCAACGTAGTGAATGGATGCTCCTGAGATTGTTGACGCAAAATTTCTTTTTGAGCCCAACGGTATATTTATATAGGTACAGTGAGTTTGGAAAAGAAGAAGCGCATGCATCCACCTTACGTGTACTATCGTTTCGAGTGCGATTTTCTATTTCAAGATTCGGGAAGGGGGGGGGGGGTGTGTTTAATTTCATTAGCGAACGAGCTTTTTCTAGCTGGTGCCCAAAGTTAGTTCCATGCACGAGCCCCGACTAGACATTTTTCTTATTTGCTCTTGCGAGCACAGAATGATGGTCCACGATTCGTGCAACGGATGACATCAATCATCCGTATGACAATGGGGTACGTGTATGGTCTGAGGTCCGAGGTATATAATATATACCGGGTCACCTGTGAATTTTATCACGCTAACGAATGCACGGGAAAGTTTATGGGGACAACAGTATACAGCCAGCAGCATTAAAATGCCAGTGTGCGTTTATACACGCGCTGCCTCGCAATAATTGAATTTCCGGGTCAACGGGTTTAAGGCCACTGTAGGTACCTCACTGCGCTGCTGTATCATCGTCTGCGTACCTATTTATATCCATACATGCGTATTGCTGTTCGAGATTATAATCACTTTTGGTTGTTAGAGTCAAATGCTCGAGTTTGTTCAATCACGCGTTTCGCCCGAGGAGAAAAACATTATTCGCGATGATGACGATGATTAAAAAGTTCGTAATGAGTATTATGAAGTTATGAAAATTTCCTTTCGTGACTTTTAACTTCATTATGAAAAATAAACGCGACCAAGCGGGACTATTTTCGCTGCGACGAGTGTTCACATATACCTTTAGCCGGAAGCGTTATTTTACAAGTCACATGGACTATTAGTTTTTTAACAACAATATATACGTATACGATCCTGGTCGAAAAAAAAAGAAAATATATTTTGACTTTGACAATCGTAAATAATAAAAAAAAAAGTCATAATAATATAAGTAGTCATTATTACTGTACTGAGGTATTCTTTTAAAAACACGTAAAATTTAAAAGTTTCAAAAGACTATTATACCGATGGATTATAAAAAAAAAAAAAAATTTTGGTTTTTACTAATGATGTACAGATAAAAAATTATCAGGCCCATTTAGAACCGTAAAGAGACTGTGATGGTGTTAGTAACAAGCGCTTTAAGAAACTATCTAACTACTACACAGGCGATCGATACCCATTTTTGTAAAATGAATATTCTTTGTTCGTGAAGAATTGCTTGATAGGTGTTTCCAAGCGTTTTTAGTTTTACTCAGTCGACTGGGGGATGTGCGCAGTTTAGAGGCTAGAATCGATAGAAGTAAAACTTTATACAGCCGCAGTTGTTTTATTTATCTGCTCAAAGAAGACTCTTGGTTTTCCAAACTACTTGAGTAATAATGAAGTACATTGTAGTGCTACTACTTCAATTCCAATTGTATTCTATTCTTTGCGTAAACCAAGGTAAGTTCATACAAGCACGCAAAATATTTTTTACCTACTTGACACGAGTAATGAAAATTATAAGTGGCTAATACTAATTTCTTACCATGGGTGCAAAGTATGTCCATGGGCGCAAAAGTGTACTTTACGCCCTCGATAAGAAAAATAATACACGCGTCTCGGGCACCAATATACAACCGCGTGACGTAATGTGCCATTTTTTTTACTTTGGATATTTTTGAGAGTTAAATAATTAGCTGATTCGGAGAATTTTTTTTTCCTCTAATTCTACAGTGTCCGACCTGCTATTTTATTTATAAGCATTATTGAGACAAACCTTTTTATTCTTAGGATTAACTTGAATTGGAGCTATAAAATATAAGAAAGGTTAATATCACGTTTAAAACGTAGATCCCAATTAATTTCAATTTATCTTATCTTAAAAATGTAAGTTTTGTACGTGTGTACGCATTGGCGGATTCATTGTTATCTATTTAATTATTACTGAAATATACAAAGCTTTTCGAGGCTCACAATATCACGAGTATATCGAATGTCTCTAAAATTTTATCATCAATCTCGTCTCTCACAGCTAGTCTAACTTTAAATGTTTATTACTTCGAGTATGAAATGAGCATTTTGATGTTTCAAAATTATATATAAATCGATGATTCATTGTTTGAGATGGATGTTGATATGAGGTTGAGGAAATCAAAACACATAAATTCTTACGGATGGAAGAAAAAAAACTTACAATTTACAATGAAAAAAAAAAAAAAAAATTACAAAAATTTACTCTTTCGAAGCAAAACCCCAATTGTTTCAAAATTTCTAAATTTCAGCGGCACATGCTTACTAGTTTAATAATGACATTCATCCAAAGTGTAGAGCAAAGAAATAATTATTCCCCGATTGTTCAGTCGTAGGTATACTCGGCGCAGATGTAGCACACGAAGGCGACGTGAAATATCAAGTTTCCATCCAAGAAAAGGGTAAACACCGGTGTGGAGGTAGCATCATTGGTGACCGATACGTTCTCACGACTCGAGGTTGCGTCAGCTCATACGGAGAGTGGAAAAAGGTACAATTTCAAGTCGTCGCTGGCAGAATGGACCTAAACTCGATGGAGGGTGTTGTAGTTGACGTCGAATCAATTTATTATCCACTCAACAAAGGCGTAACTATATATTACAATAATATCGTTGTTTTAAAAGTAAGATATTAATGTACATGGACAATTTTTTTTTTTTTTTTTTTTTTCGTAACGAGTGTTTCTTGCAATTTATCAACGTTTTCCAGTTGAAAAAAAGTTTGGAACTCGAATCGAACCCACAATTAAGCAAACTCAATTTGCCACTGGAAAATCGCGAGTACGTGGGTTCCGCAATAATCTCTGGGTACGGAGCTTGTCAACGCGGTGCCGCAGCCATTCGAAATTGTACATCACTAAGATACGCCAATGTGACGCATCCCATTATTCCATGCACCCCAAATTACAGTCTGTTTTCGGTGACCCACGAACGAGTATTTTGCGGAAAAATGATGCCAAATAATTACACCGACCGCGGAACTTGCACAGTGAGTCCACAAAAATTGCAAACTAACTAGTTAGTACTAAAAGCTCACAAAGCTTTTAATCGACTTTAATCCTCATTATTCGCAGGGTGACGAAGGTGGCGCCTTGGTGATGGGGGACACAGTTGTCGGAGTGTTGAGTCTCAAATCAGGCAGATGCGACGAAGTAAAGTCCCATTCGATCTACACAAAAGTGTCGTCGTACTTGAATTTCATTAAAAATGCTATGAAAGACAATGTTCTTAGCACCATGGGTGTGGAGTCGGAGTTTTATTTTTAGTTTTATTTTTATTTTTTTTTGCACATGCCCGAGGTGGTGACGAGCTTGGCCCAGAATAAATACTAGACATCCCGGGGACATGAAAATATATATCATATATATACATGATACTATTACCTGCACATAAATAACGTGTGGCACAGTAAGCTACGATCATTCAAAGTCACCTGAAAGTTTTTTAATTCACCGAAAGTCTCTCAACACGAGTAAAAAATTGTTTGAAGGTCCTTTTGTCATTTTTCTTACGTTAGCCATACTAAATATATTGTAAAAGACTATCGAAAAGCTTATGTATGCCCTAAAAGCACAAATTGATAAATAAACTTGCTGGTGTAGCCACAAAATACGTATCTTAACCATATCTTACTCTCAACAACAATCCCTACGTATATATATAGTAGCATACGACGTTTTAAAAAATGTTGGGAAAACGTTTGTGTTTTCTTTCAATCAAAAAAATTACTTTTGGATCCTTTGTACAAAAGATAGATAATGTGCTCTCTCTCTCTCTCTTTATTCTGATGATGTGTAGTATGTACATATAAACCCCGAGAGTAGATCTTTTTGCCGATTGCCAGTGCCCGCGTATCCTACCTTACCTCCCTGGAGCATGTGCAGCATCCAGTAAATAACCATACCCGTCCGACCACACGTCGATCTGCACTACTTTCGCCCCATCGACGCGAGAGATGGTACACCCCGATCAATAAAATCCTTGTCCCCTCCCGCCCTCCCAGTGGGTGCCCGAGCGCGAGAGATCCCAGTGCACACGGGGTACTGCCAGTGCCGCCGCCACCCCCGACCCGACTGGCAGCATCCCCTTTGCCCTTTCTTGTCCCTTCCTTCCTCCCTCCTCTCGCGTCGAAAGCGCCGAGTGTACGCTGCTCCGGACGACAGGTCGGCGAGCCAAGTAGACGTCCATCCACGTCATGGGACCGAGCGAACTGTGGACGGGATCCGCGGAGGTGTTCGCCGCCGGGGACTAGAGCGTACGGCGGGCGATCGGACGCTGTTACCGTTTCGCGAAAAGCGACAACTCCATCTACCAAAGAGGGGGGCGGGGGGTGGTGGTTGGCTCCGTTTTTTGTGGTACAAGCGGGCACCCGAGGAGGGGAGAAGATGAAACGGCAGAACGTGAGGACCCTCGCCCTCGTGGTATGTACCTTCACGTACCTTCTGGTCGGGGCCGCCGTGTTCGACGCCCTCGAGTCCAACACCGAGCGCAAGCGATGGGACTTTCTCTCCGGTACTTATATATATACGTTATGTGTACAGATCGCGACAAAGTATAGAGAAGTTCTCATCCCTCCCCCCACTTTTTTTTTTTTTTGTTCTCGTGGCAGAGGTGCGGCGGAACATGATGAGAAAGTACAACATCTCGTGGGAGGATTACCGGATGGTCGAGGTCGTTATAACGGAAAACAAGCCGCACAAGGCGGGCCCCCAGTGGAAGTTCACGGGGGCCTTTTACTTCGCCACCGTCGTACTGGCGATGATTGGTGAGTGAAAAAAAAAAAACATCGATAGGCTTAAACTTTTGTTACTGCATGTGTTATTTTTGTACAGCCGATGCGCTTATTCGAGTACAAAAAGAGTCCTCGGGTCGAGTAAACGAAAATAAAAACAATGTTGGCCCACGTGCACCTGATACGTACATCTATATTATAATTGTCTATACCTATACGTTTAATTAGTAGGTACATCATACGGTACGGTTTCATACGTATTTATCCGGCTACTGTTGAAGCCTTGCTCCTGAAATTTTAACCAGTTCGTTAAATCATAAATCCTCCGTAAAAGGGGGTACCTGTCGCTTTGGTCTGCACGTAGGTGTAGGTGTATCTCGCGCACGAAGAAAACAATCGTGGCCCTCGAATATTTATACCGCTCGCGTGACGCGATTCCAAAGTATAGAGTCTTTTTATGTACCAAACGGCAGCACGTGCAAACGTTGTTTTAGTTTTAATATTTTACAAAACACTTACTTTCCCCCTTGGAGCGAAGCAGTTTGAATACAAGAGACGATGCCCTAAAACGAGATAATGAAAATCAAGGCTCGTATGAATATATAGGTTATACATGCGTGCATGAATATTGAAAATCCTCGAGCATAAATATGCAACAGCGCGGCTCGAGCGGGATAATACTTTTTATACTTCGAGCCTCTGACCCATCCTTCATCACCCGATCAATCGATGCAACCTCACGGTTGATGTAGTTGTAATAGTAATATTAAAACAATAAAAATGTAATCAACGAATGATGTAATGTAATGAAAAACAATTGTCCCAGGGTACGGTCACTCGACGCCGGTAACAAAAGCCGGCAAGGCCTTCTGCATGGGCTACGCGATGATCGGCATCCCCCTGGGCCTGATAATGTTCCAGAGCATCGGCGAGCGGCTGAACAAGTTCGCCTCGGTGGTGATACGCCGTATAAAAACGTACCTAAAGTGCCAGAGGCCCGAAGCCACGGAGATGAACCTCATGCTCGCCACCGGTTTGTTGTCCAGCATCATCATCACCACCGGGGCCGCCGTGTTCTCCCGTTACGAGGGCTGGAGCTACTTTGACAGCTTCTACTACTGCTTCGTCACCCTGACCACCATCGGCTTCGGGGATTACGTGGCCCTTCAGGTATAGTTACCATTTTTTTTCTTCTTCTTCTTCTTTTCTTCTCATTTTTCTAGATATATTGATAAACTTGCAATCGATCCACCAGAACGACCAAGCTCTGTCGAAAAAGCCGGGCTACGTGGCCCTGAGCCTCGTCTTCATCCTCTTTGGGCTGGCCGTGGTGGCCGCCAGCATAAACCTGCTCGTCCTCCGGTTCATGACGATGTGAGTAATTCTTTTTTATTTACACACACATATAAATACACCATACGAATGACAAACGAATAAATGTCGAAATGTTGCATCAGGCAACAAACCGAGGAGATTCGTCGGGACGACGAGCTGCAGTCTGCCTCGCACCACGTGCTCACCCTTGACGGCGAGGTGGTGGCGGTGAACGGAAAAATCCTGGCCGGCCACGTGCCCTCGGGCTGCAACGACGTGGACGACGATTGCGTGTCCGTGTGCTCGTGCACGTGCCTCGGGACGAACAACAGCGAGCTCCTGCAGGGGAGCAACGAGTGCCGCCACCCGTGCGGGAGCGGGAGTTATCGTTGCTACCAGCCCCACTCGATCGCCACGAGTTTGCACGTGAAGCGCGCGTCCGTCTGATGGAAGGAGTTCCGGCGAACGCGCAGCCTGCGCCGGCGGCTCTCCCGGGTGGGTGGCCGCGAGCTACTCGGCATCGACGTCTAGGAGCTTGTACCGGCTTCGCCACGGCGAGGGTTTCCTCTCCCCCCCCCCCGATAACGAGGGTATATTTATGATGGCCGCATGTGTACAATGGGGTGCAGGTTATCGTGATGGTCACACGTGTACAAATGGAGGAGGGACACGGAAAACTTTTTTCGTTTTTTCATTGGTTTCCCGCGTTCGCGGCATCGGAACTTGGGAGGATTTTCCATTTCTTTCCTGCATCGAGATCAATATAACTACGTGATTTCGCTCAACATATATGATATATATGTATATCTGTACGCTATATGAATACATAAGGATGTTGTGCGATTGTTTTGTTTTGTTTTTTTTTTTTTTCTTTTTATTTTCGTGATTATTGAATACATAATATGTACATTATACAGGAAGGTTTTAGATACGTTTAAGAGTGTATTGTATATAATATTATCATAAATAGGTTGTACTTACTTGTTGTTATATAGTACGGCGAAACTCTAAGGACAAATGGATATTTTCCCGCGAAATAGGTCTATAGAGAGAGCTCTGTTTAGTGCAGGTTGTCGTTGTTATATCGTTGTTATATGTCTTATAGATATTATCATACAGGACGACGACGGCGTTTACACGTTTAATAAAATCATTAGCCGTGAATTCGCAGTGCGAGTAATAAGTAATAATTGATACACTATGTACATGTATCATGTGTAGTTAGATAATTAACGACCCAAAGTGTCTAACAGAGTTCGATCAATGTGCTAAATTTAAATACATTATTATTATTATTATTATTATTATTATTATTATTATTATTATTAACGAGCACGTTGTTGATTTTCCAACTATGTATTATATTGTTCGTAATGTCAATGTAGTTGTTTGTGTTTTCAATTAATTAAATTATTGCGTGTTTTAGTACCCATTATTAGGAAAACGAAGGGAACGTTTTGAAGGCAAAAATTATTTTATTTCAATCGACGAGTGCATCTTTTCGAAATAAAAATGACCAACATATATATTTTCTTAAAATTGGAGGTATGTAACTTTTAACCACCACTAGTTGAAAAGAGAGACAAAAATTAGGAGAAAAGTTATAGCACGTATCGTATACATGAGGGAAATATGAATGTACAAATTAAAAAGTGTATAAAAATTAGAAACGACGCACAAAAAATGTCACAAAGAAGGTAAAGAACTTAGTATTACTTTGACATGTTATTTAAATTACTTGAACAAAGTATGAGAAGATAATTTATACGTGTACATTTTAATAAAGTTACCGTTTTCTTTTTTTTTTTTTTTTTTTTTTTTTTTTTTTTGAAGGAATTCAGTTTGTTTTTGCCCATATTTAAAGAAACATAATAGATTGAAAATACTAACTATAATAATAACATGATGATAATAAAATCAATGATAAATATATTGAACTTTTCTAAAAAAAAAAATAAATAAATAAAAATAAAAAAGTGATACAAAGTTTGATTATCGTATAATTGTAATATAAAGAGGATCTGTAATGAAAGTTTAAAAAGAACATTCAATATATAAAATAAAGGGTTACTTAGTTCAGATTAAGAGAAAAAAATAAGTACAGAAAGTCCAGTTTCGAACGAGTACATGTGATAGCTGTTTTGAAACTTTGGCAAGCACTTTTTTAAGGTGTTCGGAAACTTGGACTCACCACCTCGTTTGTATGCATGTAAAACACACTGTGCACCCATTCCAATGCAAAAATATGTATTTATACCGATTAATGAATGTATACGAATCGCATGTGAAATAAAGGGGTTGATAAATCGAAAAGCTAAAATAAATATAGTGGAAGACTGACAAAGAATTGCTTGAAAAATATAGTCATTTAAATTTTTCAAATGTCGAATTTTTTTTTATAACTTTCGTATCGGTACATTACGGTACAATTGTTAAAGCCACAGTTGTAAAATTCATTTGTAAATTGAATTGTATGATTTATCAAAAACTCAACTAGATAATATGTATCCACGTATTATAAAAAAATAATTGTTAAAAAGTAAAATGACGTCGAATGATGTTAATATTGATACTGCAACAGTAATACTCTGTAACGAATGTCTTTCAAAATTTTTTAAAATTTTAAAAAGGTGAATCAAAAACAACAAGAGGCGAATTTTTTATTGATTAATCAATAAAATCGCACACTTGATATTCAAAACGTAAAAATAGCAAATGTTTAAATGTTGGTTTGCATAAATGTATTTTAAACGTCTGACAAATTTGTAAAAAAAAAAGATAATAAATAAAAATTGCATGTGCACAGTCAAATTTGCAAATTTTTTTACAAACGCATCTTACATCCAATGAGACCAATTCGAATTTTTATTCATCATTTTTATTGTCGATAAATGTTTTTATGAAAAAATACATAAACAGTTACATAAATGGTATATTTATGGCTTCTTTAGAATTCGTATCAAGTCTTCTTGTGTAAGAGCTAGAAGAAAAAAAAAATTGAATAAATTTATTTTGCTATCTAAAAAACTAATGACCGTAATAATACATTATTTTCTAGTATAATTAACCTTTTGCATTTTATTACAATTGAATGTTAATTCTTCAATTTTGCGATTTTGCTGATGTAACTGTATTTCTAAATCACTAAGATTACTATTCTTCCTTTTTATTAGTTTTTTGCGGGCATTTCTACATGGATTACATCTATTAAGTCCTCTTAATTTTATAAACTCCGATTCGGTAGTGATAAATCCAAGACAATCACTAGAAAACCTATAAATTATAATTTACATTGATTTTAAATTTGTTTCAATTACCACTTACACACGTTTGTGTTTATAATTTTTTTATTTCTTTATCTTTATAATACTTTAATATTAAATTAAAGACTGAAATGATTTATATTTTTTAAAACACAAAACTAATTTACCTCTCATCAATACCCATTCCATCACAACATATTGTTCTTTGTAATTTTGTTAAGAAATTAATAAAATCTGTTTTTTTATTAATTTCTACATTTGCATCTTTAACGACTCTTTTGTCAGCAGTGGCTATCTACAATAAGAAATATAGGACATTAAACAAATTATAATACAATTGCATTCAATACTACTAGCTACTACTAATAGAAGGTAAGAATACCTTTATCTTCATCTGACAATCAACAATACAAAAACACTGTATTGAAAGTTTTAAAGGATGTATATAGACAAAGGTAACTACATCATCTTGAAAAACATGTGCCCAAGCACCTGATATATTTAAATTTTTTATATCTAAGTCGTCTTTCAAGCGTGAAAAAGAATAATCTGTGGTACTTAATACATTAAAACTCAGATTGTGGTCAAAAACTTTACATTTTTCAGCTAAGAGATTTGATTTTGACGGTATTTCCACCTATAAATATGTAAATTCATTAAAAACAACCTTAAATGAACTCACAAAATAAACACATAAATTCATACACTTGTTTCATCTTGACTACTATTATCATAGTAAAATTCATTACTTTCTTCTAATTTCAGATCCAGACTTTCCTCATTCACCTAAGACAAATAAATATCAACAAAAATGTTATGAAAGTTAAAAAACATTTCTAATTATTAATTTGCTACTTGTATAACCTGTTCAATAATTTCGTTCTTTATAAATACTTCTTTGAACTGTGAATTTTGTAGAGGGTCCGTAACTTTTTCATTAACTTTGACATTAACCTGCAAAGTGCAATAGACGTCATAATTTTTTTAAAATTCTTTTCAAAAAAATATTGCTATGGTATTGCACCTATTTGTATAAAAAGAATACTTTTACATTTTCTTTGGCTGTGTCAGTGCTGTACGTTTTTTTTATTATATTACGACCATTTCTTTCTGAAACTGCACATTTATTCTGAACCTGAAAAGATCCATTTTTCCTGAAAACCTAATTATTTTTACATGTATTTATGCCTGGTGGTAATAAGAAACACAAACAATAACATTTAGCAACATACTGATTGTTTTTCGTGCGTTTTTCTCCTTTTAGCATTGCTGACAGGAATTGCCTTAGGATCAAGTGTATATCGTTTTCTAGCTAACCTGTGAACACTTCCATCTTTTAGAATTGTTTCATCGTACTTGGTAATGTTTTTTTCATTAAAATGAAGCTCGCAAACTTTGTCATTGTTTTCCACAGTTTTTTCTGCATCCCCATAGAGTGTTTCCTTCCATATCTTCAATAAATTTTTATCCTGAAAAAAAATTTGATGCTCCAAGATCAATAACTGGGTCAAATTATAATTATATTTGAGAAACTTTGTTACTTACTTTGGGAAACGAGAAAAAAGCAGCACTCCGCTGTCCTGTAGCTTTTCTTTGTCTCTTATCTTTAAAAGTACCACTAATGCAAGTAGTAATGCAACACCTTGGCATTTCAAATAAAAAAATATTGAACTGCACGGCAAAGATTTTAATGCCTTACTGCTAACTGCTTGTCTGTTTTTGTTAACCAATACTTATCAGCTGTATGATTAATAAAGAAGTACATTCATAGTATAAAGTATATTTTTATTGGAAAATGCTTCTAAATAACTGTATTGTAAGCAATGTAAGCAAAAAAAAAACACGCATGTTGACGTTTGACAATTTAAATCGTGATTACATTTAATCATTAGGTCGCGTTTACATACATGCGTCATCAGTTCGGAGTTCCTCATACATTCAAAAGAGCGCCTTAAAATTTGGAGGAGAGAGATGTGTATAATAATATTATGTTATACTTATAGTTTATTTTAAATTTTATTTCCTTAATACATCAAATAACTTATGTGTACATTAAAAATCTTACATGAAAATATTTTGATTGTAGATAAAAAGTGTATAGTTTCTTAAAATTTATGTATATATAATACTTCATGAAAAATATTTCTTCAATCACATAGATTTTATTAACATAATAAAATTTGGTAATAACCATATGTATTAATCATACCACTTATTTTATTTTTCTAGTAAGAGCATCGTGTTGAGAGCAGTCTTGTGTGAAAAGATCTTTAATTTTTAAGTCTTTGTAGAAATAGTTGTTACAAGTAAAAAAAAAAGGAAAAAGTAAAAATTGTTTAAAACTTCAGCTTAAACTAGTTTCTTTCCATGTACAACAACTGCTTCAGCTTATTACTCATGTAGTAGGGCTTATCATCGCTTCCATCATTACGCTCTGAATCTTCAATAAACGACAAGAAGATGGTATTTGCCGCAACGCTTTGTACTGAGAATATAACTGATATTATAGCGTAAGTGCCTATAGTAGACATAATCGTAGCAGCCAAAAATGGACCCATGTCTTCTGATTCGCTGTGTGCAAGGCCATAGAAGATACCTAAACCTGTTACTGTTACTGATGTTATCAAAATTTTCACCATTACAAACAGAAAATCGGCAACCTGGATCATTAAAACGTTTTGATTAGTTAATGGATTCAAGTGTCAAGTAATTACTCAACATACATCATTATCTTACCGTATTCACAACAACGACATTCACAACGTTCCTCATTATTAATTGGAACGCACTCTTTGCCGACTGAAGGAAACTCTTTCCATGAATTGCGCACATGATGTATGCGTTGTAATTTAAGAAAGTCAAAAAAGAATCGACCATATCGTAGATGGACCTACAACACATCATGAAACCGCTTGCAACAGTATTATTACTTGTTGAGAGTTTTTGCTGTAATCCTTGCAAAAGCATTTTAATGATTTGCGAGATCGTTAGAATTAGAGAACCAATAGCTATGGTTCCCAAATGATATCTGAAATTTTTTTTGTAGTTAATGTATGGATAATTAAAAAATTTGTCAATAGTGTCAAATGTAATACCTTATTGTCCTAGAAATGCTTTCAAATAATGAGAAGTTACCGACATTGTCCTTGTTAAATGTCCAATACCAAGATGAAAATGTACCACCAAGAACCATGTACTCAAAGCCAGACACAAAGAACAACAGCCAATAAAATCCAACAAAATTAATTGTATGGAAAAATTTTACGTATCCTGGATTGACTCTTTCCTGCAGACGGCATTGCAAAAATAAGCAGGCATCTCCATTTGAAGTTTTACATTTGCTGTTAAATGTTTCAGGATCGCATGATGCACTGTCATTCAGTAAGGAGATGGGATAATCTCGACACTGGCACTGTTCTGAACTTCCACTATCTAGATTTTCAATTCCATAAACTGGTACAGTTATAGTTTGTAAAACAGCAAATACTCCGAGAGCAAGCATTATGATGATTATGTACAATACCCAAGGAACAATTGGAAAAAGTAACGTTACTGGTAGGCGCTGCACAGCTCTGAAAAAAAGAAATTGTTTTGAAATTTACACAACTTGCTACTTAAAACGATATGGCATAGTGATACATACTTGCTGGATTCTTTAATCAACTGACATGCTAAATAGATCTTTTTACGGAAAACTATAACTGCTATAATTATTGCAACTAGCAATATGACGCACAAAATAAGACCAAAGAGAACATCTCCTCTTTTGGCTTGAACATAAGTGACTGTTAGTTTGTATATTCCGTAAATTGTGATTCCACAGAACATACATATAGAGGAATAGAAGAAAGGTATAGCAAACCATCTCAACAAAACTACTGAAGCAAGGGCAATGATTCCACCACAGAATATAGTTATGAGCACTGGATTTCTAGAAAGTAATACAATTTTTTTCTGAAATACACGTTATTCAGAACATCAATGATTTAAATATATACATACATTACTTTATTGGCATCCTTGCCTATATCCTTTATCAAGTTCAAGCGCCCTTGAATAGCTTCCTTAATCTTTTTTAACTGCTCTGCATTGACTGTGTCTTTTTCATGCCCTGGCCATATGCCTTTGGGAATGCATTCCTGTCTTACAGATTCACTTTCCAAGTACCAGTTAGCGCATCTTTGATGTTTTATCAAAATATCTATTTGCTCGATAGTAGTGATGGATGTCATGTTAATGTCAGTGGTACAAATTAATTTTGCCTTCACTTCATTCAGTGGCTTATCCTTCATTTCTTTGAATAGAAAATTTTGCGAAGGACATTTTGCAACGCAAGCAGTTTTACTCACGCAAATGCCGACTTCATTGAGACAGTCCTTCAAGTTTAAATACATGAGATTTGATTTATTTTCAACTTCAGGATCGAAGCCGCAAATTCGGCCAGCACTGTCTGTAGGTGCTAGTGCTACTGAGATATCACCAGCCCTGAAGCCTGAAAATTAAGTATTTAGTTTGTGTGATATCAAATTGCACATGAAAAATAATGAGATATATGTAACACGTTTTTGATTACTTACCGAAAATAGCAGTGAAAACATAAAGTAATACGAAGAGTACAAAAACAATTAGCCAAATCCTGTCTGTTGGCTGCCTCTTAACTTTCATCGGACCCTTCCACAGAGGGTCATATTCGATTTTCACACCTGTTGAGAAACATTATTTTGTTTAAATGTAAATGTGTTGCTTAAGTGAATGTAGCAAACATCAGCAACAATATTATCGACAGATGAAAACTAGTTGTTACAAAATCTTTAATCAAGTATGTCGAGTATAACAGAATTCGCTGGAATTTCCATTATTACTCAGCATGACGAAAGAAAGGAGAACACGGCATAAAGTATGATATTAAAAATAATATTGCAAACTTGCAAAAGATAAAATAAAAAACATATACTTATGCTGTAAGAGCTCAAGGTAAGTATTGTTGTGCATGCATAAAAAGCTCAATGACTCAGTAAAGGCATATGCCATTAAAAGCACACATGAAAGTAAAAAAAAAATTTTTCTTTGCTTACGTCAAAACTTCGAGTACATACATTTATAAAATAAAATATATATATACATAAAATAAAAAGTACCTAAACTCTTTAGATCGACAATAAAAAAAAAAACTGGCTATCGTCTATAAGAGTACGTACATTACGTAGGGTATAAGTACATATGCCCGGAACGCAAATAAATAATGAAAACTTATTATGCATCTAAGTATACATATAAAGTAGCATGTCGTAGCAAACTCAAGAATAGCGGCGAATTACTTACCGTACTTTTCTTCCGGGCTTAACATTTTTCCGAGCTTGTCGATGATCCTTTCTACAGTGGATGTTGATATGCGTACTTATAACAATAACTAACTGAAAGTGAACAATAAATGCACGATCTTGCGGGAGCTTCTGGAGAATTCTCGAGAAAAGGTGGATCTTGCGTCTATATTCGCACAGATCACAGCTCTAAAAAAAAATGTATGCAAAAACTATCACTTCTTTGTTGGATGAAATCAAATCTGACGTATCTCCTAGAGATTAGTTCAATAAATAAAAGCTTACGTTATATATAAGTACTTGCTCGAATACTCTGTGTTTACGTTAATATGCAAATAATAAAGAGCGCCTTGTCGCGAAACTTGTCGGCTATATGCTATGGCAATGGCATTTCTGGCATATATATTCTATTTTTATACATATATTTCACACACAGGCTTAATTAACGGCGTAAATCGCATAAATGCATTCAATACACTGTGTACTACTATATATATATATTCGGACAAGTAAGATGGCGCTGATTGTGAATTTCTGCCATACCAACGGCTGACTGCTCAAAACCTCACTGTTAACCGTCGGTATGGCAGGCTCCTTACTGCAAATTATATACCGACTGTCAAGCTCTCTGACTTTGTGTACCGGCCGACAATGAGAATTCAGCCGTTATATAGTATACGTAACTTAATTAACTGCGTGCTAGCAGCATTTGCGGAAGCCTCTGATTTCATCATTCTGGTTAAGAGAGCACGATGTAAGTTATAAATGGAGGTGACGTGGAATTACTTATGTGTAGTACTTAGTTATACTAAATAGTGCCATATCCATATGGTCGATTTTATTAAACCATATAAGTAGAATATCTATACTTCTGAAGGTTAATTTTTAGATAAAAGATAACTTGCCGCAAATATCATTGATTACGTTTAATTTTTATTTTCTATCCATTAAATCAGTTGCGGCTGGTTTATAATTGACTAAATGGCTCTACTATGAGTTATAGTAAAAATCAAATGGATCAGCGCCATCTAGCGTTGGGGATTTTTGAACTAAAAAGTGGCCCTAAACTTTTAACCCGCAGCATTAGCGCCTAGAGCCAATAAACCAATTATAAACCAGCCGCAACTCATTTTGTAGCTATAAAATGAAAAAATAACAGTACATGTGTTTTTGGCGGCAAGTTAACGATATATTTTTTACCAAAAAATCGACCTCCTATGTATTTATACTTTTAAAGATAAGTTTTCGAGTAAAAGATAATTTGCTAACTGCCGCCAAAAACACATGTACTGTTATTTTTTTATTTTGTAGCTACATAATGAGTTGCGGCTGGTTTATAGTTGGCTAAATGGCTCTAAGCGCTAATGCTGCAAGTCAAAAGTTTAGGGCCACTTTTTAGTTCAAAAATCTCTAACGCTAGATGGCGCTGATTCAAATAATTATTACTAATACTTACAGTAGAGCCATTTAATCAATAATAAACCAGCCGCAACTAATTTAATAGATAGAAAATAAAAAGTTGAGGCAATACATGCTGTTTGCGGCAAGTTTACAATATATCTTTTACCCAAAAATTTACCTATATATTTGTACTTTTGGAAGTAGATTTTAGGTGAAAGATAAATTGTAAACTTGCCGCAAATAGCACAGACAACGTTAACTTTTTATTTGATACGTATACAATTAGTTGAGGCTTGTTTATAATCGATTACATGGCTCTACTGTAATTATTACAATTTACAGTATTTTTATTTTTATTTTATTTTACAGTTAGTATATTTGCATGAATTAATATAAGGGAAAAAGTTCAACTCATTGAAGTTAAATATACCCGATGATAACACGCACGATTTCTCATATTCTAGAAAAAAATCAAAGAAAACATATTGATGGATGATGATCCAAAGCTTGTATAAGTTTCTTGTAGTTTTTTTTTTTTCGTAACTAGTGTACACACGTACATGTCGTATATGTAATTCTTACTATAGTATTATAATATCGGAAGATAATTTAATAATTATAGTAAACAGATAGCTTTTTAAGTTACAGTAATTGCCCTTAACACACATTTACACGACTAAAACTTAGTAACTTCCTTAAGATATACTACTTGAAATCATGAACTTTTCAGAAAATAAAACATTTTTGAATTTTATGAATATAATTTCATTGCATTCTTTTACAGTACATTAATTCGTGTGGTACCTCGTGATGTTTTTCATTTCCAAATTATCATCACAACAGTAGTGTTTAAATAAGTATGTTTAGTTTGAAGTAAACGTTTGCTATGGCTTACAGGGATACCCATCAACATTATTTTTCTCAGAGCTACGCAAAACCATTATCATACTAATATTATATTTGCTTTATTCAAATACGTTACTCATAGATAATAACAACAGGTTAAATACAACGTAAGATGTCTCTTGTCAATCAATTAAGCGTGTGTGCAATGCAATTGTCATCTTGATCCGTGCCCCCCCTCTCCGACATAAGGCACCCTTGTATAAACAAAAATCAATAATAGTAGTAATAGTAAAATAGTAGTACTTATAGTAATAACAACTAAATAGTCGATTTTATAAGCCGAATAATAAGATAAGTAGAACATTTATGGTTTTGGAGGTCGATTCGCAGGTAAAAATTCAATTGTAAACTTGCCGCAAACATCTCAAACAACGTCAACTTATTATTGTCTATCTATCAAATTAGTTGCGGCTGGTTTGTAATTGATTACATGGCTCTAAGCACAAATGCTGTGGTTCAAAAGTTTAGAGCCACTTTTTAGCTCAGAAATCCGCAACGCTAGATGGCGCTGATACAAATAATTATTACTATTTATAGTAGAGCCATTTAGTCAATTATAAACCAGCCACAACTAATCTTATAGATAGAAAATTAAAATTTGACGTGATCAATAATATTTGCGGCAAGCAGTTTTTGTGTTTTCATGCGTGTTTTTGTGCACTCACACGTCTCATTGTCTCATACTCGTTTTTGTGCGTGCTTTTGCTTATGCGTTTTTATGCAGATGTCGTGACCGGGCTTCCGTACAATTTATTGGCATATTTGCTATCCTGCAGCTATCCAACTTACATACAAAAACGCCCATGCTGCCTGCAACGTATAACCTTAAAATCTCTCATTCTTTTTTGTTTCCTTCAATCGTCAAATTCTAACAATTTTTAAACGTTCATCTATAATTTACAGCAAGTAAGTTACGTCATAATTATAACGCTGTGTCTATTCGCACCAAATCCACGTAATTACGTGGATATAAGGTTGGGAATTTTAAAGAAATTTAAGAAATTAATGTTAAATATAATTTTTTTTAATTTTAAATTTTTTTGCTCAGACCATCTCGATCGCGCTTATATATAATCGTGCGGGAATTTCGCCGCTTGACGGGAGCAAACTATTAGGGGCTTGGCTACCTGGCGAGTAGAGCCTGAAGCGCGAGAGATGTGAGACGCCACAGATATATCCATATTTATTTATGTATCAGACAAGTAAAAATAAAAATTGTGCTTTCATACACACACATGTTCTCTTATAGGCACGCATAAGCTTATCCGGACATTCCGGACACGTAATCTTCAAAAGACGTCAGGTTACAGATAAGTTGCTTACTTACAGCCACGTCAGCTTACGGGCACGTAAAATCTGAAAGCATCGATTAACTCTATGCTCAAGCTTACGCATACGTGACTTATAGGAACGTAAAAACTAAAAACATCCAATTCACTTTAATTTCCACGTAAGCTTAGGGTGAGATTACATGGAGTCTGGCAGTCTGCAGACTGGCAGAATCGCGCTAAGTTTAAATTATGTTTAAATTATAACATCTCAGAATAATTTAGTAAAATAAAGAAAAAATTGTAATTATTGTTATAACCGAATAAAGGCTTAGTTACAATCAATTTCATTAACAAAAAAACGTGTCAAATATTATTTTATAACTTTTTTTATAGATTTATGTTAACATCGCACAGTCAGTCAGTAGGGTCACTGATGTAACCTGGTATGTATAACAATATGTAAGTGTGACAAAACGTTTTTCGTCGCCTTTTTTTTTCGTAAATATTAGTTAATACAGAAATGCAAATGTATTACGATAATTATTTCTTTGCTTACGTAACAGGTTTTAAATATTAATATTGAAACATATTTTAAACTTGGCGCGATTCTGCCAGTCTGCAGACTGCCAGACTCCATGTAATCTCACCCTCACACACTCACACTCAGTGCTGCAGCCAAACGCATGCGCGCTAACTCAAAACGAACGCTCGTGCACTCGGTGCACTCGTGCGCTCGTGCGTTTCGTCAGAGATTAGAAGTCTAAGGTAGTCTATGGTTTCGTTTCCCTCCCGCTTCAGTAGACGCCCAGGCGAGAGCACTGGTGCGAGCTTTACTTCACGTGGACATACTTCATTTGAAAAAGTAGCGTTTTTCTTTAAAATTCCTAACCTTATATCCACGTAATTACGTGGATTTGGTGCGAATAGACACAGCGTAATTATAAACTGTGCATTTTGTATTTATCGATTTTTTATTGTTTAATTTGTTATTTCTCTAGCTATGCCAAAAAGAAAGAAATTTTCTCAAAAAGAGTCCATCATCAAGAAAACAAAACGAAAAGAAAAGTTTAATTACAGAACATCTTCTTACATTAAAGAACGTGAGGCTAGAGTCGAGGAAATAGAAAATCTTAGACAAAGATTTGAAGAAAAAAAGGCTAAGCAACAGCATTATAATAAGGAAAGTTCAGATGAAGAAGAAGAGGATGACAACCCTTTGAACCATCTTTTAAAAACGTTTGGAGATAAGATTGCTAAAGCCCCATTAGCTATTGACTCCGAAAGTTCAGATAATGACAGTGAAAATGAAAATGGGGATAATGAAGAAGAGGAAATAAGTGAAGAAGATGCAAGCAGCAAGGAAGAAGATTTAGAAGATATAGAGGATGACGACATTGAAGAGGATTTAGAAAGTGCAGATGATGACGAGTTTGATGATGAAGGATCAGAAGAGGTTGATAGCTTAAATGAACAACAGAACAAAAGCAGTGAGGATGGTGAATCTAGTGTTGAAGACGATATTTCAGATACAAAGAAATCTAAAAAAGTGAAGAATAGTAATGACGAAGCAAAAGAAAAAGTTAAACTCTTGATGGCAGAAAAAGACGAGGAAGATGAAGAAACTGCACAAGAGGATGCTGGGGTCATAAACGATCCTTTTACTGTGCATTTAAAAAACGATTTTGATAGTGATATGTACACAGCCTTAACAAATTTACCTGCAAGTTTGAAAACAGAGCAATTATCTTGGCCAACGTTAGGTAATGTTATTTGTGAAATACCTACAGTGGATAAAAAAATTGACGAGCCAGTGGACACAAAACCCAAAGCGTTACTTTTGGATAATGTTACTTATGCAGAACATGGTAAAGTACCCCAGCTGATAAAACACGTTGACTGGGATGAGTTGCATGTAAAATCAATGATCCAGAAAAACATATCCAAGGCAAATTATGGTAACATAAAAGACTATTTGGATGTGGATTCGAGTCCATTAACTCCTTTCCAAAGAGAATTATTTTCTATTATAAACAATTATCAAGATCTGCTCTATACACAAAGATCTTTTGACAATGAATCTCAGATACGATTGGTGTACTGTTTACATACAATCAATCATGTCTTAAAAACAAGAACCAAAGTGCTTCATCACAATGCAAAAATACAAAAATCAAAACTGCAGAGCCTTAGTGATATACCAGATGAATACAGAGATCAAGGGCTTACGCGGCCAAAAGTTTTGATCTTGGTACCTTTCAGACATTCTTGTTTTAAAGTTGTAGAGTTACTGATATCCATATTCATTGGTGAAGATAGGGGAGGCTCTGTGATAAACAAAAAAAGGTTCATGGAAGACTTTGGTAGTGGAAATGAGATTATAATGCCCAAAAGAAACCCAAAGCCAGAAGATTATGAAATGACATTCAAAGGAAATACAGATGACACGTTCAAAATTGGTATCTCCATTACCAAGAAAGCCTTAAAATTATATTCAGAGTTTTATTCGTCGGATATAATTATTTCATCAGTTCTGGGACTGAGAATGCTCATCGGTGCCGAGGGAGAAGAAGAACGAGACTTTGATTTTCTCGCGTCTATAGAATTACTGATTCTCGACCAAACGGAAATATTTTATATGCAGAATTGGGATCACCTTCTGCACGTTTTTGACCATCTGCATTTACAGCTGAAAAAATCCCGCGGAACGGACTTCAGCAGAGTCCGTAGTTGGATCGTCAATGGCTGGAGTAAATACTACAGGCAGACGTTGATTTTTTCTCAAATCCAACTACCAGAAATTCTTGGTATCTTCAACAAAAGATGCTTCAATTATGCCGGAAAATTGAAGGTAGTGAATCCATTACCCGGTACGATCAGCCAAGTGATGGTTCAGATTCCACAGGTGTTCAATCGGTTCAATGCAAAGGATCACTTGACAGCGATCGAGGCTCGCTTCGATTTCTTCACCAAGAAGATCCTACCCCAGTACCGTGATAGCATCATGAATCACACCCTCATCTTCGTGCCTTCTTACCTCGATTACGTCAAGCTTCGCAACTACTTCCGCAAAGAAGAAATGAGCTTTGTACAAATTTGCGAGTACACAAAGGAAGCCAAGATAGCTCGTGCTCGGGACATGTTCTTCCACAGTGACGTCCACTTCCTCCTGTACACCGAGAGATTCCATTTCTACCGCAGGATCCGCGTCAAGGGCATCCGGCACATTATATTTTATGCACCGCCAGCCTTTGCCCACCTGTACAGCGAGATGTGCAACCTGATGCAAGAAGGCTATCAGAACCCCAAGTCCGGCTCCTCCAGCAATATGACCGTGACCATGATTTATTGTAAGTACGATATGTTACCTCTAGCGAGTATAGTAGGCACTGAAAGGGCAGGACAGATGATCATGTCGGATAAACACGTTCACATGATAATGACTGGAGCGTGAGAGGCTCGGGAAATGGGATTTTCCAAGTGTAATTAATTGATGGATGTTCCGCATCTGTTTGGATGGTAAACAATTTTTATTTTTTATAATGTTGTACAATGAAAACCGCACATTATCGCGTTTTTGTACGATCTCTAGGATAATTTAACATACGTTTGTATATATATTATAATAGTGTAATATACCGATACTTTTACCATATTTGTATGTATGTGTGTATTTATTTCGCAATTCCGTACCTAAATTATTCATTTCTCTTGGAAGCCAATTGAATTAAAAACCCGCGAAAAAAACTGATGATTCATAATTACCTCTTAATCGGTAAGACCAATGAAGTACTTGTACAATACTCTTAGAATATTGTAAAATATACATCTTTGAAATGTATCAAGTTCGCTCTCGTGAGGCAGAAATGCGTATTTTCGAAAAATGAAAGTAAAATCCTCTAATATCAAGGACAAGAGTAAACTTTTGTTTCCCTCGTAATCGTTGACACGTCGGTTCTTCGAGTTTCAACAGAATCGAGGACAGCTCAACATATGATAAACTCTCGGGGCAATGACAATAAACGCCGATAAACTAAACAATTATGTACCCTGCAGGAGATGCGTGTCCCGTAAGTATAATACATATTTACGCATATAAAACAACATTCATATAAATATCTTTCTCGAGCATGCAGCATTGGCACACACTCTGCGTCAATAATCTTTCAACTTCCTTCTTCTTCTTCTCCTCGTCGAGCTTTTCAAAAAATCCAAGGCCACGCGCCTGTGGCGCTGGTGATGTCGGCGCGAGGTCCAGGACTAGATGAACCGCGAGCGACCCCGTCTAACTGCCAAGCCGAGGGACGAGCGACGTCGGCGACGCCGGCGCCGAGCCTCGATCTCGTAGAGTCAGTCGTCGTCCTGCTGCTGCTTGTAGTCGTCGCTGTTGGCGGGCTGCTGTTGCATCAGGATCCCGGGAAACTGCTCGGGCTGGTCCGTGGAGCTCATCTGGGCCTCGAACTCCGAGTCGATCCTCCGACTCGGTGGTGTCGTCAGGGTCTTGTACAGGCTCCTGGTGGGGTAGGCCGCTGCTGGGTTTTGATTGTTGTTATGGTCGTCCAGCAATCGAGACGATGATGATGACTCTATCGTTGGGACCGGAGGCGTTGTTCCGTCCCGTGAAGTTTCTGTAGATGCGAGAAACAATTATCAGTACAGTTAATTACATTTTTTTAACATTACGTATCAACATATATCACGAACGCTATCGACGAGCATCATTTGGAGAGTTTATTAATTAATTTTTATGGTATAGATTGCCGCGAGTGCATTTTGTTTTTCAGTAGAAACAACTACGTTCGATCAGACACACAGACAAGACAATGACGATCTGTTCTCGGGAATCTCGAGAGAGATGATATTTTTTCTCATTTACAGATCTGCATGGGGTTTCCATTTATCTTAAAAGTAGAAAAAAAGGACAGCCCAACATCCCTTGAAAGTCATATACATATTACCCTTGATGCCGAGGGCACTCGGTGGCTCGTTGGCCACAGCCTGGCCGATCTCCGTGCAGAGAGTCTTCACAGCAGCCACCGTCGCGTTGTTGGTCGCATTATTCCTGAGCTGCTGTTGTTTGTCCTTGTTGATGGCGTTTGGTTGTCCCGCGGGTTTCCATATGTACATGTAATACAGGGATAGCACGATAGCTGCCAGACTGACCGATATTATGTAAGCCACGACCGTTAGGACGCGTATGAGCTTTTGTTTGTGCTTCGGCTCGTAGAGCTTATCCTTGCTCTCATCGCCGGCGAACCTAACCTCGCTGCCGGTCAACGCGACCCCACCGCCGGCCGCCGCCAAAGATTTGCTGCAGTCGTTGCTGTAGATCCCGGACGATGCTGCGGCCACCGTGCCGTGGCGGTTCGTGCCCAGGGTGCGGCTTATGCTGGCCATCACGTTCTGCGCGCTCATCTTGCGTGGGATCTGCATGGTGTCAGCGTGGCCCGAGGCTTACCCCGACTCCTCTTTTCGTCTCTCTTTGGTTGTTTTATTCTAAATTATTTTTCATCGGATGACTATTTTGGGACTTATCTTTTATCCAATTATAAGTAAAAAAGTTTATGCACTTTTTGTGCATCCATACTTGTTCGTTGCGTCAAACAAGAGCAACTTTTTTGTCAGCTTTTTTTACTAAACATGTAAACAGGACACGACGATGATAAACAAGACTCCTCGATTGATTTTGCCCCACATGCATCCGATTTGCATCGTAAACAGCGTTACCCAATTAACTTTTTCAACTACGTACTACTATACATTTTTTTGCTTATTTTTAGTCATGCTCATCTTGATTTTTAGGGTCAACTAGATGCAAGCCCTCGGTTGTATGTATATTCAGTTAGTTTGTGACGTTATTGCAATTTTTTTTTTTACCATTTTAAGCCCGAAATCAAATTCATTCCATGTTGCGACTTGTATGTTGAACCAATTGCATAGAGCATGCTTTCTCGATAACAACTTTTAAAGAAAACAAATCATAAGTATAAAATGCTTATCGCGTTATTGCAACGAAAATATTTACGTTATACGTACGTATACGCTGTTTTCATGCAAAGAAAGATATATTTTTGGCGACGATCCGTCGATCAGCCGATTGATGATGTTGACTACAGTTTACATAGGGTACTACTTATTATATCGTTTGCCTAAACAGATAGAGCTTGCGATCGTTACTAGTTCAATTTCCATCTAATACATGTTAATGAAACACGCTAATAAATTGAATTAAAAAAAAAATTGTACCCCTCGTAAAATACTGTTTACCATGTAATTGTTTCGAACGATATTAATCAGAAAAATGAGAATTAAAAAGGGAAGAAAAAAAGAAAATTACTTTACTTCCAACACGCAACTCTAGCGAAACAATCGTCTTAATTGAAATACCTCCACGACTCTGCTCCCGCACACAATCCGCCCGTATGGATTCTAATTTTAAACCAAAGGCCATTATTAGGCTGAACGATGTTCAGATGTGCAAGAGTACACGTAAGTGTATATAGGTACTATAGCGAACCAGCCGTAATGGCATAATAATATGTTATCGCATCGAAAGTGACAATCCATTAGAAACCGAGAACAAAACGGTTAGTAACTTTCGGCTGGACAGAATCAGTCGACCCTGTGAACGACGACTCGTCGCACGCGCGCCCGACACCCTCACACGAAGCTTCCGATTGAACGAAACTCTAGTACGCTATGTAAACTCAGCATCAATCACCGATGATATCCGTCGAACTGGGTGAGGTGGGGTGGGGGGAGAATAATCGAGGAGTCAACAAAGAAAGAGAAAACACCAAGGCTAAAGCTCTCTTACCCCCTACTGGTGGTGTATACTCTTTCCCTTCGAGCCCCGAACGCGCTTCTCTTTGTCCCGTACCAACGGGACACCAAACACTACTCGGGCGTGCAAAGGGTTGGTGTTTCTCGCTGCAGCAGAGTCGTGTCCTCTTGGAGACCGAGTCGCCGCGATGCTGATAAAAAGCTCCGGGAGAAGACGAGGGACGAGGGTACACAGCGGAGCCTCCTCCTGAGTCGCGAGTCCACTGAGACTGCCTCTACGTGTGCGTGTTCGTGTGCGTGTTTCGCGCGTACGAGGGGGGCCAGGACACGAGGAGTTGACGAGCATAGCGCCGCCTGTGCTGCACTGGGTGGGGGGGGGGGGGGGGAGGCAGAGCTTTTTTGCTCGACGCGTGAGCGTGTGGGTGCGCCGGGCAGGGACGTAAGATCGCGGCGCGGGCGTGGATCTTGTTGAACTTGGCAGTATTTGATTTTGACTGGTGTGGCTCTTTTTTTTTACTAATGAGACTTTTTACTTTTTTCCTTTTTAACTAAAAGAAAAAAAGAAAAAAATTCAAATTCTCATATTTTATCGCACCCCTTTATCAAAAAGGAGCGTAATTGTAAAATGAGCAAAAACAAGAAAAATTTGTCGCGCTGCAACTTTGGCCCTTTGATAAATAAAGCTCGTACCGTACGTATACACATGTATAGGTAAACTTACGCGTATGCATGGTAGGTGCTAAGGGGGGAGGAGAAATTTTTCACGTAACGAGGTCGGGCGTAAATAAAAATTTATGACGTATTAGGGACAAGGTGGGAACGCACACATCGCCATGGCATCGGGTGGTGCCGAGAGAGCGCAGGGCCCACCGGTGTCTAACTACACACAAGTCGCGGGGGTCGAGCTTGCGCGCAAGCATCGGTGGTGTATCGCGGGCCTTGACACGACCAGTACACACACATTCACCAGCTGAGTGGTTGTACATAGGTGGTGTGGGTGTGTTGTTGCGTGACGCTGCAGACGATCGATACGCATTAGTCGGAGCACACGGGGGGTGATGGACAGCCGCTTGAGGGACGGAAAAAGGGCCGGGGTGAAAGCTCTGCCTGTCGGACGTATACCATTGCTCGGTTCCAATGTGCAAAATGAGAAAAGGGGGAGAGGATTTTTATTTGATATCACCAGTTTGCTTTTATACAGGCGCCCGATTGAAACGCGAGGAAGCAACGATCGGCTTCGCGCGATCCCAGGTGCGTCTGACCAAATCTCGACCCTATTCTACTGAATTTCGATATTTAGAGAATAAATCGTGGCACGAATATCGGTAAAAAAAACAAGTTAATGCTTATAAGATGCGACATACCGAACGTCATTTTATTACTCGTATCGTGATGAATTCTATATGCTTGAATTAATATTATTATTATTATTATCGTTTTTCGTTCGGTCGACGTATAATTGCAAACGTTTCATTGAAACCGATTTTAACTCGCGCGTAACGAAAAACATCTGCTTCCAGCAGGTAACGCAAATCGACATCGTCCTCCGAGGCAAAAAGTGTGCCAAGGGAAAACGTTGGCTTCACTCGGCGAGGATTCGATTTCGGCCGAACGGAAAAAAAAGCTGCGGTCCTCGGCTGTTATAGTACACAAATCGAAGGCGTTAAAAGTAATTCAATACTTCCGTCTTTGTTCGAAGCTTCGATTCGCGAGCGCAAAATTTTTTCTTCCTCCCGCAATCAAAGGACAAACAAAATCGCGGCGCGAAACTGGAACGCCGCTCGACCCCGAGTTCGCCGGGGCGCAGGTGTAATTTTTGAAATTGAGGGTCTCTGGCGCGTATACGCGATCGTTGCTCGTAACAACCGCAGCAGCTCGAATCATTAAAACGATATTGTGCGGGCGCGCGTTTATTTTTACCTCAAGCTCTACCTATATATTCTCTCGTAATGGAAATATGCAACAAAAAAAAAACAAAAAAAAATGTAGATCGCAATACCTGTGCAAGCGTGCGCTCATTTGTATGCGTATGATTCATACCAGTGGGTTAAGATGGACAAGTTCAATGCAGTCGAGTTACAACCAACTACGTACGTTCTGACCAGTGAGAAAGTGAAAAGTGAAGCCCCAAAAGTACCTAACTGAATATTGAACGCTAATGTAACGCCAGCGATCCTATACACACCCTGCGTCCATTACGTGAAAGATCTGTCGCGTAATTGGGTATACATCCGCCCTCGTCACTTCTATGGCTTTGGTATAGCAACGTTTTTGGTCTTCTTTCTGCTTTTGCGTCCCTTCCCTTGCCCATTATTTTTTTTATTTTATTTTATTTTAAATTCACTTTTACCTATAGGTACATCACGCGAATCAGACTAATCTCGTTGACGACACATTTTCCTGACTAACCGATGGCCCTTTGCTGGCTTACTCTCTCATCCCCTCTGTAATCTCGGCATTGGCCAGAAAACTGGGCCATAGTTGTCTTTTACGTTCATCCGAGGATTATCCCTTGGATCAACTTTCATTGACGACCATGTAGTTCTTTTTTTTTTTTTTTTTTTTCTTTTTTTTTATGTTTCATTTGATCGACAGACAATTTTAGGAGCGAGATCGGCTGTCTTTTAAACGATATGCTCACGTATTCGTTTCAATACCTTCACGCGAAATAAAAATAATGATAATACACCTCAAATTCATATAATGGCAATAACATGTGTACTCACTCATCCTCGTACAAGTGTAAGATCGCGGGAAGGGAGGTCCAGTTTAAATTACACACTTTCAATTTCGCGCTCGAAAGCCCCCCCAAAAAACACAGAAATTCCTCTTCCCTGCTCTCGTGGGAGATAGCATTTGTCGAAACATTTGCATGATTTTTTTTTTTTTTTCTTTTTCATTTAGCTCGTCGGAGAAATTTTTCTTGGAAAAGCTGATAAGTATACCTCTCGCATCGTTGCGCTCGACGATGTATAGTTAGGGAGCTTTCATGCCGAGTTGTTATTGCCTCAAAAATCATGTCAACAGCGTTGACGTGATTAAAAATACACTTTCCAACGGAACTATGTTATTATTCTAACGAAGAAAAAAAAAAAAAAAAAAAAAAAATCCTCTCGAAGATGCTCATCGAAAGACAACGAACCAAAGTCAGAGGCATTACCTTGACCGTCCAAAGAAACAGGTGAACTCGTGGCTGTCGTCATCATAGTCTTCGTGGGCCTCTTCCTCAAGCCGTCAAACTTGATCGGCACCTCGAGGTGTTTCAGTGCAAAGGGCGTCTGGTGCTGTTTCTTTCCAAGGTTTTTGGTCCACTTGGTTGGCGCTGTCGTCGTGGTGATAATCACCGGCTCCGGTGACGCTTCGCCGCCAGCAGGGAGAAGGGCACTTATGAACTTTGTCACCTTGGATACCCCTGTTGGTGATGCGCTATTGTCCACCGAACTGATGCTGTCCAGCAGGATCGAGGCGCTGGTACTGCTGTAGACAGAGTCGGGCAGAGAGACGCTATTACCTTGCTGCTTTTGGGACTTTTTATCTTTCGAGGGCACTGATTGATTTGTCATGTGTACTAACTTTGAAGCTAACAGTTTCGTAATACTCGAAAACACGTAAGATTACGCTTCTCTTAAAAGGCCCCAAAGAACGAGTCGAGTTGGTATCGTAAAGTCTCGCCGATTTTTTCATTTCTTGCTTTGATTCAATTCTACATGATAATTTAAGGAAGGAGAAAAAAATAGCTTACGTCAGCGCGTCGTCCGTTTCCACCGAGGAGGAGGAGGATGCCGGTTCGCCGGTGGGCCTGGCCCTCTCGAAGCTCGCCCGGAGGATCGCGTTGGCGTTCTCGACGATCTCCCTGCGGTGCTTCATGGTATCGGTATCGTTGAGCCCGGCGTCGAGCAGATCGATGGAGCCACCGGTAGGCAGGACCGGCCGCTCCTCGAACCTCCGGCTGAAGCTCGGCCCGTCGTCCGTGAGCTGCTCCGAGTGCGTGGCCAGCGCGTGGGCGTGCATGAGCCTCGGATTCGGCGGATTCCACAGGAATATGTAGTACGTGCTCAGGGTCATGCCGACGAACGACACGGATATCATGTATGCCGTCACCGTTATTATACGGATGATCTTTTTCGGCTCCCGGTCCTCGTACAGGGCGTCCTGTTTGTCCTTCTCGGCTTGATTGTCACCCATCGCTCCTCACCTCTGTCGCTTGCCAAGTTGCTAGTGATGATGCACTCGCTGTGCAAGGCTGGGACGGCGGTGCGCCCCTTCGTGTGTCCTGATTCGCCGGGGAAAATCGAAAATGAAAGTGCGTTCGAGCTTTTACGGCTCTCGTGACCTAGTTTACATCGCGGCTATACGGAATTCGAGAAGAAGTTTCAGATGCGCGCTCTCTCTCTCTCTCTCTTTGCGCTGTAATATAGCCCCCCCCCCCTTTTCTTTGCACGTGTATTATAATTTATTAGTGCTGGGTTGCATGAAATGAAATAAAACTGCATAATTTAACGGACAAGTATACAGGTATTTTCAGTTATCGATGCACTTGAAATGCATAGATGACAAGGGGACCGACGCTCTCCAAAGTGAAAGTAGGTTGGAGCGGATTAAATTTTCAATATCAAGTGCAGACAAAATCTGACGCGGCCGATCGCATACGTATTTATTTATCGCGTAACGAAACGAAAAACAAAACAAAAAAAAAAAAAAAAAAAAGAAAAAATTAAATCTACTCACCAGATTGGAGTATCGGCCCCGACTGTCCAGTGCAAATCGGCTCACATTTTCCACTGTCCGCGGTTCGGCTCGGTTTATTTACTCGCGGCCGCTCGTCTCGCCGACACTTTCGAATTTTTCGGCTCAAGGCCTACACGCGGAGATTCGACAAATAAACTCGGACGAACCGCACCACCCTCTGGTCCCAAGGGTACTTGCAAAAAAAAAAAAAAAAAAAATCGAGCCGAGCGCCAAGTCGCGTAAGGCTCGCAGGACAGCAGCTCCAAGAAGTCGCGGCGAGCTTAAGGTATACTGTCGCGAGCTCGGCAAAGCTCTCCCGCTATGCACGTGGACGGCCAGTGCCACAGAGAGTAGGCACGCGCAGACGCTCTCTCACTTGTGTATATATATGTGTTGCTTTTCACCTCCGCCTCCTCCTTTTTGTACAGTCTGCACTGCTGCCGGCCGCCCGTTCATGTCTTCATCCTCTGGCCGCTAAACTACTTGGCGCCCAACCTCCCCATCGCTAATTCCAAACTGTTCTCGAGCGGGTAAATAATTACCGAGAGTCTCAAGTTTCGAGTGCTCTCTTGGTGTTGAAAGTTATTGGTGTAAGTATATACGGATTGTCCATTCGCTTGTATAGCTGAAATGGTCAAACTTTGGGAATTTCATACGAGTAATGCGGGTGAGCTTGCGATAACCAAAGTAGCCTATTCATCTACTGCCATAGTTCGTACAACGATTTTTGTCATCGTAATTAAGAGATGGACCGATCGAAAGCTCGTCACACTTAAGAAACAAAGCTCGGTCGGAGTGGCGAGGATCGGGGGTTGATAAGCAGGGGGTTGGGTGCACATGGTACGTCCGCGGAAGAAATTCGCGTAGAAATTTGGATTAGTAGAGCAGAGGTAGATATATGATCGGTATACATGCGAGTATGTGGGGCACGTCACCTGTATACTCTGCATGGTCGCCTTATCGTGCGAACCACTGTATACACGCGAGGGTCAGTTTTGTCAATTGTATCGAGTATTATTCAACCGGAGCAATTTGCATAATTAACGTTTTACTACCAGGTGAAACACGTAGTTGAATGGTTGGCAACGTTAGTAATTGATTGTCTCTTCGTGATGTATACCGTAAAATCGTTTTTTATGGGTCTCGAAAAGCTCATTGATGTGCACCCTAAAGACAACCTCGGACAACCCTGTGTCTTACCAAGATAGTCGACGTGTTGTCATTTCTGATGTTTTACTTGCGGACCTTTATCTTCATTCATCGACACGAGTTGGTATTTAAAAAAATTTTTTTTTCACATATAGGTATACGAGTGACGACATTTTATCAAAAAAAAAAAAAAAAAAAAAAAAAAAAAAAAAAAAAAAAAAAAAAAAAAAAAAACTGATAACATGAGAATAAAAGACTATGGAGAAATGGCACGGAAACTTTATCGGCGCTGTGTTTTTATCCTGCAGAGCTCTAGCCTATACAGTTCTACTATGTGCGTATGGATGAATACTCGTGTCTATAGAAAAAGCCCAAGAAAAGCAAGCATAACGTTAATAAATGTATACTCAGCCGCTCCCTTTTGCACTGACCCCGACCGATCGGTGCAATTGCTACTTTTTACCCGCACATCAACTCTCCGCCGTCGAAGCCAGAAGCGTTTTTTTTTTTTTTTATTATTATGGTTCTTTTGCTCCCGGGATATTTTTCCCCTCCAATTACCGTCGACCTCTTCTACCCTTGTAAAATGTATACAGTCGTTTGGTACACATTTTCGCGGTGCATCGTGCATTGAATTACCTAAACAAGTGTGTATACTTTTAGGGTAAAATTTTGTTTGAGCGGAGACTTACCTGTTTATTTTAGCCACGTGCACCTTAAAGTACAGTTGTAAATACACACGTGCCGATCTAATGCCTCCAAAACCGCGCGCGTGGCAAAATCGTATACACAAAGTCAGATCAGACATTTGATGTTTGATTTTCCAGCAAATGATTTATTTTTCCCGGCTCATTTGGCGAGCGGTTTTAGAAGTGTGTTTACACGCCTTCAAGACTCTCCCGCGTTATCTTGAAAATATAATGTAAAGCGGCTGGATTTTTTTTGGAGCTTTTCTGGGCGATGGTTTTAACTCGTGTAATATACAATATTCAATTGTATAGACTGTATTTCAACCACTTACTTTGGCTGAGCCCTTGTTTCATTCATTTTTAGTTAAAGCATAAGAAAAGCAACTTTTTGTATTAGTTACAATAATTCTCAAATAACAATTTTGTTACGTACTGAAAAGCCAATGGAAAAAAAATGTACAGCACACGTTTTTTACTTGATTTACTGGATTGAAACCATAAGAATGTAATTTTTTGTTGTTGTAAATTTCACTGTGTAAAACTTAGTTGTGTCAAACTAGTTCGTGTAGATTGTCCACAGCATCATTTTACAACATTTAATCGAGTGTGTTTAAAGATTAATCGAATGATTTTCAAAATTTGGCGCCACTCTTGAGCAATGCGTAGAAAATGATGATACTAGCTGCTGGAAAAAGCGCGACCTACCATATCTTCGGGCTACGGAATTTAAACAATTAAAAGTATATATGTACATACATATGTGTGCAATAAAATATTTATATTTTGCCCCCCCCTGCCTGCCCGTCACTCCGTCATGCCAATCTCCTATCACGCAACCCATCACTGTTAATTACGTATAGGTATATAGAATAACATACATATTTTTTGTACCACCGACGCATGTTTTGCAACTCTGCAGTCTGCATTTTGTATTGTAAAAGTGAATTCCGTATAGTAATAGTGTTATTTTAGTTGTCATGCAGTGTTAACGACCGATCATGTGTTTGCCCAAATGTTTGTGTTTTTTAATCATCAAGTTCATTATTGTCGAGCATCTGGACTGAATATTTTTTATTGTCCGTAAGAATGACGTAGAGGAGATACAACAACAAAGTCCCGCGATTTTGAAGTTGGGATCTTGTTTCACTGATGCATTAACAATTGGTATAATAATATACTTATTCTCAACTCCAAGACAAGAAGAGAGTGATTCAGTCCACAGTGCCTACAAAGTGCCTTGCCCTGCGATCCGAAAAGATTTTTCTTTCATCTATCCCTCGAGCGGGGAATGGTCAGTCTCTCGCGGAATTTACACAGTTCAGGCAGTGTGAGTCATCGGGAAATTAATTGCGTTTGCATTCAAGCTTTGATTTAATACGCATACCTACCTACTTATTTCTTTGAATGTAAAAGCAAACAATACCTACTGTGAAATTGGCTTTTTTTTTACTTTGCAGTATAACCTGTACGTCCGAGAGTATCAATACCTTTTCAGATGCTGGATAATTATTTTCTGATTTAGAATTTAAAGTTATATAAAGTTTATAAAAAAAAACAAACTATTTACTCGTAGTTCCTTATAAGTGGTAATGTGTGGGTTCTTTGATAATAATAATACATAGGTGACACGTTATTAGGGTACTCATTCCTTCCATGATAAGATTACCTTTTTTTTACACATTTAATCCAATGTAACAAATTGATGACAACTAGTTTTTTTTTACTGCAGGCGTTATGGATACCAGCATGATTTTTATTTCAGTAGTGATAAGCTTATAACTTAGTAAACTCATCCATGTAGAATATTTATAGTTGTAATTAAAATGCATGATGTAAACCAGCATGATTTTTATTTCAGTAGTGATAAGCTTATAACTTAGTAAACTCATCCATGTAGAATATTTATAGTTGTAATTAAAATGTTGGAACGACTGCAGAGTTTTAGATATTAAATCAATGCAAAAGCACATTATTTGTAAGTAAAGTTGTTGGGATTTTTACAGTTACAAGGTGCTGTGTTTTTTGATGCATCATTAAACATGGATGATGAAGAATATCTTCAGCCAGTCTTGGTTTCTCAGGAGCAGCAAGAAAGTTTTCAGAAGCTTGATACTATTCCAATAGTCGGTGTACCTTTGATATTAGGGGTAAGTTTATTATTCACAAGACTTTACCGTCAATCGTTATGTAAATAAGATGATTAATCGTGTTTTGTTTTGACAGATAGCCTTAGAAATAACTGGAATCATATTTGTATCTATGTGGCCTGATGAGCAAAATAAATGCAATACCTACTTTGTCTTGCTCTACCTTCATTGTCTCTACTGGTTGATTATCCTAGTAGTAGATTATTATGTCAGAATGAGACATCATTTTCTCAGAATCAGTGGATACTTGGATTTTTACCAATCAACTTACCAGCACATTAGGACTCCACTGTTCATATCATCCCTATGGAATACAGTTTACTTGCTGCTGTCTGTTATCTTGCATCAAAGTCACAAGACAGATTATGAGAGATACTGCAGATCTTCCCAATGGTTCACACCAGTTAATTATATTTTACTTTTAACTTCTTTTGAGTTGACAATAATTGTGCCAGTTTATGTTAACTATATAAGTGAGTATACTTTGACAAACTTTTAATTGATCTTTTAATCATATGTTTGATAAAATGATGTGTAAATTGTATTGTTTGTTATGCAGAAAGAGTTATGAGATTCAACAGAACCAGGCCACCTCCAGATGTCATTAGAGAGGAATGGCTAACATCTTTTACCCAGGATTCTTACACAGGTGAAGTAGGTTTCCACCAGAGAGGACTGAGTCTGGCAGAATTACTTGAGAAACAAGCAGATCTGATTAGGTATTTGCGAGACCATAATGTTAAACTCAGTCACAAGATGATGCTTTTAGCGTCACAACGCAGAGCGATGCAATCCTAATTTCTTTCCATTTTCAATTTTAAAATTTAATTCATGACAATAGTGGAAAATATGTGATAAAAGTGATTGATGAACTTCTACTTGATTTTGTAGAAATGTGAGTGATTGTAATTTGTTGAAAATTTCTAAATCATTGTTCGCAAAAAGGATTTTATTAGGGATTTTTAATCAAGTTGAAATGAAATATTCGTTCTTTGGGAGATTTCAACTGAAATAATAACCAAGCATCAGCTAAATTTTGTTCAAAGTATACACAGTTAACAAAAATACATGTAAGCTTTTTTTAACGTTTAAGTTTTTGTATTTGAATGTAATAACTACAGTGTAGAATTGTAAATTAAACCTAGGCTGTATAAATATTTAATTGTCAAGATAAATTAATGATTGGTTACGAGTTTGTTGAGGTTTAAATACAATAAATTATCATGTTATAACCGAATCACGAGTTAAATATATTTCAATAAATAATACATTTAACATTGAATAATAACAAACAGTTAAACATACTCAGGACATCTTTGTCAATATTTTTTCGTCAAATACTCTCATAAAGATATCATAAGCTGTCTTTTAGGCCCAACCATTTTGGTCCGCGCATCGTAACATGTGTATATTATATATATTCGTATTTGCTAGAAAAGAGTCGTCGCATTCACAAACTATCAAAAAAATATATGTATGTATATTAATATATCTCGTGTACATGACAGAAGGAAAAAAAAATTCATCATTCACCTAAAGTACAATCAACAACGTAGCTAAATATCCAACGAGCGATGAACAAGTGAAAAAATGATAAAGAAAAAAAACAATCGAATCGAATTACAACAATAACATCTTATTCCCGATTATACAGCGCAAGATCTACTCGTCGTCTTCGCCCTCCTCATCGTGCACCGACTTCTCGGACCTGTCCTCGACCTGTGTCTCCTCCGTTACCTGCTCCTCCTCCACTTGCGCCTCCTCCTCGTAGACCTCTTCGATTTGTACTTGTTCGTCCTCCTCCTGCTTCTCCTCCGTTGGCGCCTCTTCGTCCTTCTCTTCCTGCTTCTCCTCCTCTTCCTCCTCAATCTGCCTCTCCTCTACCGTCTGATTTTCCATCTCCTCCTCTGCCTGTGTCTCTTCCCGTACATTCGTCTCTTCCTCCACGTGTGCCTCCTCCTCGACGTACGTGTCATCGACCACGTCCTGCCTGTAGGTGCTCATCCGTCTCCACGACGAGCTCGTCTCCTCGGTCACTCCCTCCCACACGTCGACGTCCTCCTCTACCTGGGGCTCCTCCGCCGCTTCGATCTCTTCCTCTTCCACCGTCTTCTCATTGTCGGCGAGAGCTTCTTCTTCCTTCACCTCGGCTTCGAGAGCCTGCGCTTCCTCGTCTTTCTCCTCGACTTCGGGGGCCTGCTCCTCGTCACCCTTCTCCTCGACCTCGGGAGTTTGTGCCTCGACTTGGGCCTCCTCGACTCGGGTCTCTTCAAAGTCGGTCCAGTCGAAGCCACCCTCTTCACCGGCGCCACCGCCCGTTCGGACTGTCGGGGCTTCTTCGACGGGTTCGTCGGCCTGCACTGCCGCTCCGGCCCCTTCGCCGTCGACGAAGGGATTCTCGAGCTCGGCGGGCTCTTCGGGCTCGTCTTCCTCGACCTGGAGGCGCAAAATTTGTTTTTCGTTTACTCGTCATGGGAAAACAAGTATATTTGGCCCTTCTTACCACTACATTGGGTGAAGGAAGGGAGGAAAAATTGGAAAACGCCAATAATCCAAAAGGGCGACCGACCTGAGTGTCTTCTTCGTGGTCGACGTCGTAGGGTTTCGCCTCGACCTCCTGGTCGGAAAGTAGAGAGTGGCCCTCGGAGAGGGGCTCCTCGGCAATCGCGATCTCGTTGACCGCGTCGGTGGCGGACTCCACGTCCAGTTTTTCCTTATCCTCCTCGAGCTGCCTCTTGAGGAACTCTTCCTCCTCTTGAGCGACGCGCTCCTTTTCGTCGGCTATGGCCTGCGCGATAGCCACGTTGAAGAGTCTAAAACAGATGGATTCGTTAAATCCCCTCTTTTCAATGAAAAATATCTGTCAAACCAGCTATGAAAATACGCGATAACGGATATTCATTCCATATTGATGTGTTATTAATTAAAATCGGTTAAATTTGTTTTATCCTTCCGAATGTCCACTTTTAGGGGAAAAATTATTCATCGATAGCAAGGATACTGCCGATATACTTACACTGTGTTTGCAACATAGCACGCGAGCTCGTGAATTTCCCATAAACAAACACCGTTCGGTCATCATTTCCATTTCTACTAAAATGTACGGTATTTGTACTGGATGCTCCCTCTCACAAATTTTTAATATTAAATAGCGCGTATGAATCGTTGATTTTATGACAAGAAATTTTAATTGATCGTATACTTGCACTTCCAAGGAAGATTTCCCTGTCAACGCGGATTTTCTAAATCCCCGATATCGCTTGTACACACAAAGTAGTGTCCCTATAAATATATCACACAGGACTGGAAGGACGTGTATAGTAAGGCTTACTTCTCGTCCTCCTTGAGCCTCTCGGCCTCCTTCCTGAGCTCCTCGGCCCTGTCCAGTATGGCCCGCCTCTCCGCCTCGAGTCTCTCCTGCTCCTTCATCTCGGCGATGCGCCTGTCCTGCTCCTCCTTGATCTTGGCCAGCCTCGCAAGCTCGAGCTGCTCGGCGTGCTTCCTCGCCTCCTCGAGCTCCCAAGCTCGTCTCTCCTCCTCCATTCTGACGTCGCGGGCCACACATGCACACGAGTTATTTTAATCAACGCCTCCTCCCTCCCTCCCTCCGTTATACGCATAGGCCGCCAATTGTTCCGTGCGGGTTAGTAATGACTGCAGCGGGAAGTATATAAGTCCTTGGCTCGAGCCAGGCTTTCGGGGGCCCAAAAGCGGCTCGAGTATTTCTCGTCCCAAGGAGATGGTTTAATTTGTTATAGCGTGCACCTATGTGGTTGCTGCGTGTGCATGTTAATGGTTCGGTTACCAGGCGATGGGTGCGGTGTGCGGGGCTTGACTCAAACTGTTTGGAAAGTTATCATGAATCTCGATGCTATACTGTCGAACGGTCCTCGACAGGTGACGGTTCTCGTTAAAAAGGTGGCGTCGGAACTTTACGCGTTTTTAAAAAAGATAATAGTATATGCATGGGCACGTTGTGCGCTTTGGATATATATATA